ACAGCAGAGAAGGAATGGCAAAGCATTGGATTTTTGCTGCTTTGTACACTGTCACCCATTTTCAGTCTGGCAAATACTTCATGAAACTTTATTCAAGTGAAAATTGGAAGACTGGTATTTGTGATTAACTGGACAGGGATGATGACTAGGATTATTATTACTATTGTTCACAGAGCATTTTATAGACAGTAATGAAATTATTGCCTCAGAAACCTGATTGCACACACTCAGTATTCAAATAAAGGGGAGAACTGAACGGTGGCTTCTTCCACTCATGTGTTCTCTTGTGACCCACAAGAAAATCTCTTCTCTCTGACTTTAACTTGTTCAGTCAGTCCGCATTTTTACAGTGGAAGAGCTATCCTTCATAGACCTTTAAATAGAAATGTAAGAAGTTCAAGAGAAAATAGGATTATGTCAATCAGGAGGGAATGTTAGAGGAAATTATTGACTGAGAAGGAAAACATGGAACAAAAGTTTTGGAAAACATGGCAAAGCAGTTTGGAGGCATATATGACTGGAAAGAAGGAGCTATTGCAAAAGAGATGGAAAGCAGGAAACATGAGAAAGACTGTGAAGATAATCAGAAAGAAAAACATAGTCTGGTGAAAGACTTTTCTAGTGAAATTATGGAAGATTGTTAAGGACTCCTATACACATAGGATTTTAGTATCTATATGAGAAACACAATTTGAATGTGGAGATGCCAGACGAAGAGGAATTGGCAGCAGATTACAGGAGAAATAATCAGAATTTGAATATGCTGCTCTTTATTGTGGAAACACTGTGAAATACCAGTACGACACAGGCTTTATTTCAAGAATTTTGAAGCGTAGAATCAAATCTGGTGTCTGCCAACCTTGGATGTACCTTGATTTTTGAACCATTATGGCAGTGCTCTTTGAATCTTTGAACAACTTCCAGTAGTAATGCGGAAGCAAACATACCAAAACCATACAGGAAATGCATAACAAGAGAAAAGATTTAAATATTCTTGTGTTTTCCTTTTAAGATGTCGTAATTAAAGCTGCTCCTTTGACTGAAAAGAAAAAAAAAGGGCAAGCTGACAATTTCTTTTTAAGATTTGGGTGCAAATACCTAAAAGGCATACACATTGACTTTGATTCATCCTACCAGTGTTTGGACAAATAATCAAGACTGCTCCCTCACAAGGAGCTCTCTCCACAGCTACAGGAGACTGATAAATACTTCCAGAGTCTGATTCAAATCCTCAGTTCGGCGGTGAGCTGAAGAAAAGCTATAAGGATTCACTGTTTTCATGGAAACCTCAAGGTGAATGCAAAGCTGTCTCTTTTGCAGCACCATCTCTATGCAACTGTTGAGCACAGCAGTCCATGATATGTTGAACTTTATTCTTCTTGGAGCTATTATATTTTTATGTAAGTTTGCTGTGCAATTCAAATCTCAAATGGTGAGAGAGCCAGCCTCAAACTACTTCATGGAACAAACATAGCTGACAGATACAACTTAATGCCAGAGAGGCTGGAAACTCTTCATCCTTACAGTTTGAAAGCATTGCTTGACAAGACCTTTACTTTAAGAGAGTGGACTAGATGACTTCCAGAGGTTCTCTCCAGTCCAAATTTTTCAGTGATTTTATGATTCCAGTAAAGATGTATTTGCTGAACAGTGCCAGTAATTTCCACATCTATTTCTGATTTTGGAACATACTTGAATGGAAATAAAAATAGCTTTTAAGTTAGCTGTTTTTTGAGTTGCTTAGTCTAAGTCTTTGGGATAAAAAAATCCAGATTTTTTTCTTTTTTGTTTGTTTTTAAAGAAAATCATAAAATTATAGAGTTGTAGAATGTCTTGGGTTGAAACGAACCATAATGATCATGTAATTTCAACCCCCCTGCTATGTGCAGGGTCACCAACCACCAAACCAGGCTGCCCAGAGCCACATCCAGCTTGGCCTTGAATGCCTCCAGGGATGGAGCATCCTCAACCTCCTTGGGCAACCTGCTCCAATTTCACCACCCTCTCTGTGAAGAACTTCCTCCTATTATTTAACCTAAACCTCCCTGTCTCAGTTTAAAACCATTCCCCCTTGTCCTAACACTATCCACCCTTAAACCATTGTACTCTCTTCTGTTTATGCACTCCCTTCTAATACTGGAAGGCCAAAAGTCTTTCCCTGCAGGACTGCTCTCAGTTTGTATAAATACCTGTGATTGACCTCGCTGAAGTGCCAATCATTAAGTTTCAGTTAATTTTTTTGAGCATGTAATTTCCTGTAAAAGACTCCCTAGTGATAAGATTTCATGAATTGTTCTCATTCCCCGAATCAGAAACACTATGTGGGCTTTGAATAGGACAACAAAGTGCTGTTAATGATTAAAGCCTGTCCCAACAAGTTTCTGAGCTTCTCTGACAACAGAAACAAGCAAATGATTTTTCACAGAAAGAAAAATTAGGGAATGCAGTGTATTTTGGCAGCAAGAGTCAAAGACTCCTTACTTCACCATACCTACTAATACCCAAGGCAATGTGGTTGATTTTATATAAACACAGGTTCTGTCCCAAGCAGACTGATGATAGCAGGTTTCTGCTTACCACCTTCATGACTTCAAAACTTCATGGGAACCCTCAGTGTTTGAGCATGATTCTTTTGGTGCTGCCTTTGTTATGTGCTTCCCACACACTGCAGCCAGCAGCCCTTAAATTTATATTTTTTTGTGCAAAACCCACACACTCTTATTGTCATCAAGAAAAATGCACACATCAGGCACTTACATGTTCTGGTTCATGCAACTAGGAAATGACCAGAATCAGACGGTATTATGGCTATTAGCAGCAGCAGCAGTAATGCTTCTCGTTGCATCAGATTCTTTTTTTTTTTTCCTTTCCTTGACATGCATAGCCAATACAGATGTTTGAATGTATAAAAATATCAAATTAGTTCATCTATCAATTGCCATTAGTTGTGTTCAGGAACATAGTTAGCATTCCTTAACATTGAACATATTTGTTGCTTCTCATAGTTGAGCCAAGAGTACAAAACTTATATAAGGTATCTGAAGCAGTCCTCAAATCAACATAGAATGTAAAAGAGACATTTTTTATTAGTAATAGCTGATAATAACTGCAGGAACTGCTGATTCTATAGGAATGGATTTCCAAAGAAAATGCAAATTTAAAGTCATAAATTTTGTGCTTAGTCACTTATACTTGAATGTACAAACTTATCAACCTCTTGCCTTGTCACACCACATCTGAAAGTATAGCCATATAACTTATTGAGTCCTTGTCTGGTTCTGACCTAACCAACTCTGACCTACCTACGTGAATTAAATAAGCAAATATACAGGCTCATCAACCTGTCTAGTATGAAGTGAAGTGGTGGTCACTGTCTGCTATGTTTTCTCTCTTGATTACATCTAGTAAATTCAGTGTGAACTAAGAGCATCCAATAATTGGTACATTCCTCCTGCAACTTGGTTCACTGTCATATCACATGTTTTTTGACAAATGAGAGCAGGTATACCAAATCAAAGAAGAAATTAGCCCTAGTTCTTCTTGATGGCCTGTGACACAGGCTCCTCTGCAGCTTTCTGCCACAAGAAGATACCTTAAGCTGATTTGTTCTCCAAGGAGAGAAGCAGCATAACCAGAATCCCATTATTCTGTCTGTGTAACATCTTGAACATTTTGTCATTAACCTTTTCCCTTCCCCTATAAATAAGAATGTCAGAACTAGCCAATAAAAATGATAATTTGGAGAGTCTTGGGACAGTAAGATCAGACACGGTGTTATTACTTTGAAGTTCATCTAGATGAATTATGACCTAATCTAGATAAGTTTCATAGCAGAAAAGTGATTAGCAAATTCATTATCTATAGCTTTTCCAGCTGTATGTTCAAAGCTACCAGGAAATATGCACAAAAGTCTTTCAAAATCTCCCCATCATTTTTCTCTTGTTGATTTCATTTTCTTGGCATCTCATCAAGTGTGACTCAGTCTTTTCTCTTTTGGAGTAAAAAAAATATCACTGATGGGGATGCTTGAGCTACCTTCTACCTGCGATTCAGGTTGGAAATAATAGAGTATGTGTACAGAGCATTAGCAAGTGGGTTAATTTTGTTAGTGCAAGCCTTACCTCAGTCACATCTCCCCAAGACAGAATTTTTCCCCAGAATGCTGACATGTTCAGCAAAATTTTTGATCTTTGTGGACTGAGTATGTGATGCTGGAGTCCCAAGTCAGAAATTCTCAGCTTTTTGATAAGCATCTTTTTTTTAAACTCTGTCCACATTAGCACTTGCCCTGCACTGTATGGTGATGCTATTCAATCCTTCAGCGTGAGCCAGAATTAAAGGGATATCTCTCCTCATTCTCCATGTCCCCCATTCTTTGGTTCCCTTTTAACATTGTTTTGGGCTCACTGTATACTAAGGGGAGAATATAGCAGGACAGGTGTGACGCTTTAGTAGGAAAAACACTCAGATTTTCAAATCCCCTTTCTTAGAAAAAAGGTGCTTTCTGACTTATGAGTGACCTTCATACTGAATGATAGCCCATGAAAATAGATTGTTGTCATTAGTAATTCTGGACTGTAATTCAATGGCAGAGAAAGGTCTTGGAAACTACCATCTTACTGAGTCATAGAATCATTAAAGTTAGAACAGACCTCTAAGATCATCTAGTCCAATTGTCCACGTGCCACCAATATTGCCCAGTAAATCATGTCCCTAAGTATGACATCTGCTCTTTCCTTCAACACCTCCAGGGGAGTAAAGCTTAATCTGTTTGGAAGATCTTCCTCAAAATTCAGTCAAGATGGATGCTTATTAGCATAATATACCTAAGAGTTGCTGTATAATTTTCATCTCCTGCATTCTTTCAAAGTAAGGGCAAATTGCTACCAACTCATATGGCATCTTTCACTTATTTTTTGCTGATGCATATAACTTCCTCAGGTATACGGAGATGAGTTCCTATTCCTCCATAATAAAACTTTCACATTTTCCTCTCAAAGGTAAGCATAATGACTGTCTGGGAAATGGAAATCTCATGATTTACAAAATAAGGTTCAAGAAAAGCAACAGATTTGGGTCTCCACTTCCCCATTCTGCCAGTGCTGGTCAGAACAGAGGCTACCTGCAAAGGGGCTCACAGGACTTGTTGACTCAGAAACAGGCTTCTGAATTTTCCTTACTTCATATTGGTTCTTTCACAACTGGACTGATAACTTCTATGAACCTGGCTGATGAGAGATGATTTTTTTCACATGAATCACTGAAATCTCTTCACCTGCTAACAGCTCTGGATGTCTGCTGACTTCAAGCTGAGTCAGTAACTAAGAACAAAATGTTCTGGTTCCCCTCTCATAGGATCCTTGCATTCCTCTTTCCTTTGTGTAATGTGCAGTTAGGCATAGAAGTAAGTACTTTTACAGTTAGTAGTACTGCACATCAATTGCCAATCAGAGCAGGTATATTTATTACTACATACAGTTGCTTTAAAAGGCAAATTACAGTTTGTTTAGTTCTCACTGACCTCATAGCCACTGCTTGTTAAAAATGTAATGCATGTGTTTAATATGTGAAACAAGTTCAGTAGCATATAATTTGGATGACACGTAAATCTTGTTTTTATATGAGAACTAAAGTAATTCAAATGGTTCCTTTCACTGGAGCTTCTCATACACTATCTTGTCTATCCAGGAAAGCTAATCCTTAGGAGATTTACAGTGTTTAAGGTGGTTTCCAGGTTTTTATTGAGCAGATCTGTGGAAAAAAAAAAATAAAATAAAATAGTGGTCTCATTTGATCTTAAAAATATGCCTTAACTTTTATGTTAGCATCAAGACAGGATTCAATGGAAAATTAACCAGAGCTTTTGAGTCTAATACTCTATCCACGTAGGGAAAAATATTTTTGTCATTTGTGCAATGTAATCTGGAGTAGATTGGTATGCAATAAGATCTTTAGGATATGCCTATAGTTTCTTTTTTTCAGCTAGTCTGAAGCTCTCATGTCTGGATTAAGTAAGGGTAAGACTGGAATACAGATATACTGTCACTTTAGCATCATTTATTTGAAACTATCTGCTGGACATGTTGGTAAATTAAAGAAAACAGAACTGCAGTGCCAAATGCCACATCTTAATCTGAGTGTCACTGGTCCTCACCATGTCCCTTCAGAAGTCTCCAGCTCCAGTTCTTCAGTTGTTTCAGTCCATAGCCTTTTCTCAAGAACAGCTGGGATTTATGTCACTTCCTTATGTGACCAAGCCATTAGGAATCATACGAATGTAAGCTTTCCTTCTTTATTTTTTTTTTTCTCAGTTGGTCAGAAGTGAGAACTTCTCAAAATATTGAAGCTTGTTCTTTGAAACAAAAAGGTGGTGCAAGACGAATAGCAGAAGCCTTTGGTTCTACTCTGCCTTGTCAACCATAGAAATCAAATTCTGGGTCTCCAGTGGAGAAAAACTGTTGTATCAAAGAAAAAGATACAGTGGAACATACTAAAAACTCTTCCTACCAAAACTATTTTTTGTGAATTTTTAAAAAAATGTCATTTTTTCAGCTATTCTGTCTTTAAATACCATAAATTTCATGCAGCTGCAGTCGTAGCAATATTCAGAGCTCATCTTGTGCATTTTTCTGTTTGTCTCAGATAGTTTGAAAGCAAAGTGACTACAGTTACTGCCATTTTACAGATGGAAGAGATGCAGCATGTAAGAAGCATGTGAGTAATGGCCTTTAATCCTGGATACCTGAAATTAAAATCAGCATGAAAAATGGCAGAATTATGTGTTCACAAGCCTCTAAACTCTTCTTTTCTGCTTCTATCTACTAATACATCTTCCCTTCTACAATGCCATGCTCTTGGAAGGGAAGCAAAGGAGCTCAGTTTATGGGAGAAGCAAACCTTTCTCTGTCTTGGTGTGCCATGCCTTCTCTGTCTCTGAAGTGAATCAGAAGCTGGGGAGAGATGCTGAGCAGCCACCTAAAAATTATTTGCTTCTGCTGGTTATGCAGTATCTGGCAACTGCAATGGGTAGCTGGAAAGCTTTTGTTAATATCTCTTCTGCTTGTTTCCTGAGTATTTTTCCAAAGCAGCTTAGTTGTATGCAATAAACCCTCATTTCCTAATGCCAGTCACTGAAAGCGTATGCCAGGGGATCACTGTAAAGCCTTATTACTTTGTCCAGTCACATCATCTGGAATTTCTTGAGAAGGACTGATGCAAAAAAATGACAGAAAAGAATTTCATAAGGCGTGTGAAATAGAACAAAATGTGAGAACAGGCTTCCCAACTTTTTGGACAACTCTTTGCTCTTTGATATTGAGTTTTCACAAGACCACATTTAGTCTAGGCATTCTTACAAAGCTGAGGAACAGTCCACTTGTAACAAGGCCAGGTCAACCCGTTGTCTTGTTGCTATGAGTAATGTTAAAATTACTGGATGGATAAAAGTGGCTCGATCCCTGGAGCTATGTACAACTGACTCTGAAGCTGATGTATTTTAACAGCTACTCTGCGCTGTGAAAGTGAGGTTAAAGTTGCAGAGGTACCTGCACGTGTACTCCTAATGTGCTTTCATTTGCTGTGCAGGTATGATTTTGACTGTGTCAGGCACTGAGTGACAGGTCAGTGATGTGTCTTCTGCATCTGACAGCACACACTTTGGGGAAGAACTGTAACACCACAGTTCTTTCCAGAAATGAGACGCAAGCAACAAAGTCATGACTGCACAGACACTTTGGAGTGTAAAATGCAATTACTTTTGCCCTTTTAAGATGGAGATCTCTTGCCTTCTCACTTCTCTTGAACTATCTATCTTTCTTCAAAGCCTGCAAAACTGAAAGCTTAAAACTTTGGGTAGACTTTTAGGAAAGGAAAAGAAAAAGAACTGACAAAGATGAAGTCTGTTTTCGGAGGAATCTAGAGATAACCCTGCTGGAGGGGCTCTTCTTTGTACTACAGTAATAGCTTTGTTTATAAAGAATGACTAGTGCAGTAGACATGGGGTCAGTGTTGAAGCTGGTGTTTCTTTTAGCTAATCTCCAGCTCTCCCACATGCCAAATTGACCTGTTTGGGATATGAAGCTCATTTATCTTTATGGGAGAATAAAGGACAGGACTGGGGAGGAATTTATCATCCTTTTAAAATACTCTATTTCCTGATAATGATGGCAGGGGCTAACACCAAATAGAGCAAATGCAGTTTCCCATTATAAAGCCATTGGAACAGATTTCTTCCATAATTCTGAAATACAAATATCAAAATTAGAGTAGATTCTGAGTCAAAACTTCACTACATTTGAAGTGAAGGCAGAGGGGACTGACGAGTGGGTCAGGAATTTATGACTCATATCAGTAACTTCTGTTTTGTTAAAATAAATCAGTAACAGATACTGATAAGATCATAGTTGATTGTCAGTGTAACTTTTGCAATTCATATTTGGCAATTCTTCACCTGCTGTTTTGTTTTTTTTTTTTTTTAAAGTTTGAATTTATCAAATACACCTTCTTTACTGGATGGATTCTCTTCACCTGAGCAGACTTTAGTGTTGAAAACGTTTGCCTTGTTGGAGATATTCTTCAGAATATCAGAACTTCAGAACTCTCAGTGCATATGCAAAGGCTTTGTTTGCTACTTGTGAAATGGCTTCTGAATTATACATGCTATTTTTCACCTCAGATTGTCTGGACCTTTCACCTCACAGTGTATGGACCTTAAAGAGACTTTTTAAGATCTCTGCCTGCATTTAAGCACATTGTATGGTCTTGACTGGCATGGATGTCCCTCTTGATTTTCTTATAGCTTCTGTGCTAAAAATCTTGTCAGATTTGTTAATACTCATTCCAAATGACCATAGCTGGGACCTGGTGAAGCTAAACTCTATTTGTTACCACTATTTATGCTAATACAAATCAAATTCTGACATTGTTTCTTTAAAATTTTCTTTCAGTACAGCTGAAAGACCCGAGGATTGGGCGCAAATGACCTCTTTGGGGTGGTAAGTGACTTTGCAAGCAGGGGTTTGGAAGTGCCTGGAAGGAGGAGAAGGCATCTGTGCCCTTTAAAAAAGCAAGACAAGAGAAGAAGGCTTTCAGACCCCTCTTCTGTTGCCTTGTTTAGTCATGGCTGGATTAGGATATTATAAACTCAAGGAATGGTGTATGTTGTGTTCTGAACTAGATAGTTAGAAGCTCATGCAGTCACTGCTGGGCTTATGTTTCTAACAATATCAGAGTGACAGCAGATTATTTTTTTTAAGTCCATACCACTTCCCATGTTGTCCCTGCCCAGGAAGGTGGTGGAGGCACTGACCCAAGAGGTGTTCAAGAAATGTTTGGACGTTGTGTTGAGGGACATGGTTTAGTGAGAACTACTGGTGATCGGTGGATGGTTGGACTGGGTGATCCCATGAGTCTTTTCCAACATTGGTGATTCCATGATTTTATGATTACTGCTGTAGCATGCTGGTAGTGGTCTACCAGATAGATGGAAAGAAGAAAACTTTTATATCTGCATATATATAAAATAAAATAGAAAATTATACAGGAAACAAAGCAAATAATGGGTTATAAAAAAGAAAAAAAATTAGAAACAATGAAGAACATAAAATATTAGCAGAATTTTGAAAATTAGGAGTTGCATGGAGATAAAGGTTTGGAAGACAAAAGAACTGTACTGCACAGTGCCATTTTTACACACTATATACAAGCTAGTGCTATCTTGTATCAAAACAGCACTGTGAGTTAGAACAAAGCTAACTGAGAAATCCTAGAAGGCACTGGGAGAGAAGAAGACATTCAGAATTTTTTTTCATCTCTAAGTGGGGTAGTATCAGGACAACCACTAGACTCAAACTAGTGCTCATATTTAGAAACAATCTAAGTTCATTACTGAGAAAATGTGAAGATAACAGTGATCAGCAGACTGGTAAATTGAGAGGATGAGGCAACTGATGGAGTGATCATGATCTCATGATAAGCAAGGACGTTCAAATGTGTTTTTGAATGAAAGCCTATAATCTGGGAACAAAGAAAGCTGGACACAACTGCAGAACATGGGCTTCGGCTCTGGAGAGGTGCCTGAACTGACATTTCAGCAGTTGCCCTCTGCAGAAAGCTGCAACTAAGGCAAGTCTGGGTTGTACAGAAGAGCAGGACCAGGAAGATAGTTTCTCCCTTTGTAACAGCACTGCTGGGTGGTGGTATTCAACAACAGAAACTGTTTTTCGAAAGGAAGAATGAGAAATTGGAGACAAAACAGAAGGAAAGCATAAATATGATTTGAAGGTTGAAGAATATTTCCCACAGGTGAAAATAGAAAAGTGCTAAAAGAAGGTCTGAGGTGATTTAATTACAGCACATAACAAATACAAAGAGGTACAGAACAGGAAGGCAGCATGGTGAAGGCTTAGCAGCTGATCTTGGACAACTCTGAAGGAGGAATAATCCTTTAATGAGATAGATAAAACTTCAGGACAAGATAGGAAGTGGTTTAACTATCCTTTAGAGCCTTCAGATCAAACCCTAATGCCGATTTCTGTTGGCAAGTTCAAGAAAGAAATGTAAACACATGTGATATAATAGGAGGAAGATCAAACAACCTAGTGCTCCCATTAGGAGCTAATGGAGTGGTATATCTAAACTCCCCCATGATTGCACAGTTCATGAGAACTTTTCAAATTTTAGAAAGTTGGTCCTGTGTATTATTTTCATGTTCACTGGAGTTGTAACATACATTGCAAACCATATCTTTTGTGATCCTAATTATGAAAGCAATCAGGAGAAACAACTTTAATGCAGTGTCTGAAAAATATTAAAAATTACTATGTGCTGAGTTATTTCATATGAATATAGTAAGCACCACAATGATTGCTGGAATTAGTGGTAATTAATAATCCTTGTGACATTCTAAGAGGACAGAAGAGATAATGAAAAAAATTATACTTCTTTGGATAGCAACACCAAGACAGTCACAATGAGGTCTATTAAGAGAACATCTTCTGGAACACAGCAGCTCTGGGACTTGACTCTGTGGCCACTGTAGTGGTAAATGTATCCTGCTGTCTCATTACTATTTTGGAAAATGCTACAAAAATTCCATGCTTTTGGGGTGATTTGTTGCGCATATACTAAGAACAGCTGAAGAAACAGATTAATAATTACAAACATGAACTAAACCCTGAAAATTCCCCTATTTCCTTCAATTTAAACATGTTACCATGTACTGAGGAATTAAGAGGAACTCTCATATGTGTTAAATAAAACCTATGCAAGTCCTGAATCTTGTTTGTATATGTGTATATGTGGCTATATATGATGCAGCACACATGCATAGTGATCTGCAAGCATAGATATAAATGTTCCGGCCAAAGTGGAAAAGATATTAAAACAAAGTCACATATGAAAGTGCAAAAAACCAAAACAAACAAAAAAAATCTTTTTCAGCATGGCACTGTGTTTATGAAACACAGAAATGCATTCCTTGTATGTGGAATTTACCTGCTGTTATGGGTGGACATAAGATCTGTAAATGGCAAGGTGTGGTTTCCTTGCATTGTTTGGGGGAGTGTCTGTTTGGACAGATTTAAAACAGTGATCCAAAAGTTTGACAGTAGCAGCATGAAAACATGTTTTTCAAAAATGATAGGCATGTTTCTGCTATTCTGGTACATTCCATGCTTCTGATTCAAAGGAATACAAACAAACAAACCTTCATTAAGCTATTGCATACCTAGGCAAAGTAAAATGCTTTCTAATTTACTTGTGTGCTAAGACAATGGAATTTGTAAGAGGCTTTTTGAAGAAAAGGTCAATGCAGTAAATTTAGGGTTTATATATATTTGAGTGTTGCATCTTGTAAAGTGTGTTTCTATATGACACAGGTAGGTAACTCTTGATAATGTTCTATGGCAGAAATATGGTTTCTCTATGAACATCTTTTTTCTTTTTTTCCCAGTTAGTATTCTGTACTAGAAATATCAAGTTCCAATTTAGCTTTATTGACTTTGGCAGCATTTGGAGAAAATCTATCAGATAACATCATTTGTATCCAAAACTTCTGAAGAACTTTTCTTATTGTCCTCAAGGACTTACGAAAGGGAATGTGGAGCTGGGCTCCCACTCAATGATGCCACACGTGTTTTGCATGTGTATGAGGTATGGCTAAGTCAGAGGCCTAGAGGAGGTAAGGAAGGAAGCAGGGTATGTCTGGATGCACTACATAGCACTTGAAACAGACAAGCAGGCAGCTTCCATCTTGTCATTTTGGTTATAACCACCACCGTGACCATCCAGCCACAAGCTGCGTATATCTTCTACAGACTTAGAATCCAAAAGAAGTTTTGCTGTAATTGTGCCAGTGGTATTCATCTCTGTGGTTTTAACATGCTTCATGAATGTTGTTTGTAGGTAGTGGTATCAGTCTGAACCTGGGAAAGATTCACCCCCTTATTAAAAACAAAAACCAAAATAAACAAACAAAAAAACCCCCAAGAATACAGAATCTTTATCTATGGTTCAGAGAGTTTACAACTGAGTCCATGCCAATCCTCCTGTTGTGTGTGATGAAGAGAATTGTGTAGATGCAGTGCTGCTGTCTGGAAACAAAAAAATCTCTGAAGTTATGAAACACACACAACATACATTCACTTCAGGTAGTATTAGGCATTTAGATCCTTTTACAGACAGAATACAGAGATGATAGGATGTTGTTTGTAAGGATACTCAGGCATTGGTCTTCTCAGTGTTGCAATGCCTAATTGACTATTATTTTGTTTCAAAAATGGCTTGAGATTCTAAAGCTGAGGTTTAAAAGGAACTGAAGCACTTAAGTCAGAGTAATGTCTAATTCCTTCTTATTTATCCAATATCTTTCTAATGCAAGATGCAAAAATTGTCACAGATGTAAAGACTGAAATATAAATTTTCTTATTCATGCTTTGAAGAATACCAATTCCATCTTCTTCCTTTGCTGTTTTTACATCAAAGAGTCTTGTATTTTTTGCTTTATGATTACAGAGCTTCTGTAGGGAGTTGGAAATGTTTTTGTCTTGGTGACAGAAGACATGGGGTTGCATCCTGTTAAGTGTAAAAAAACCCTAACTCTTGAAAATTGAGTCAAATAATGTATGATTGAACAGACTCATGTCTCTAGAGACAACTCTAGATAGTTAAAGATAAATAAGTCAATCTCTACAAGCTTCAGGCTTACTTGATTTGCCTTGCATACATATACTTGGTAAGTGGGTAAAATGGTACTCAGTCGAAGAATAATGAATTCACCCTGAACCTCCAAAGTTTTAGGTGAATGCTGTTAAAATTTGAAAATTTTCTCTTGATTTAAAACAGATTTTAATGTGCTTGAATATACTGAAAAGAATTCATGGGCCCGTGTAAAGTTTCTAATGGTCAATAGTATTTGAAATATTAAAATGTAACTCCTCTCTTTTCATAAAATTTCCTAAGATTTGTTGAATAATGCTGCAAGCTGGAAAATCTACATACGTGTTTCTGAATTCACTGTGTAATTAGTTAATTGAAACACTGTAGCGCATAACATTTAATCCAATTCCCTCATCTCTTAAGATTTAATATCAAGATCTCTCTGATGGAAATAATTATGAAAACAATCCATCTTCACGCTGACCTGAAATATCGTTGAGAGAACACTGTGATAGGTTTGTTCGGTTCTTATTTCTTCCTGATCATGTGGAATTTCTACAGCACCACTGCAAGAGTTTTGACATTTGAATGATTTCAGGTAACTGCAAAGATAAGAAAACTTCTCAAAATATAGGTTGTACTAATTCTATATTAAAACTGACAATTCAATTTCAAGCCCACTTACAACTGGTTAAATCACTGGTTACTGTCTTTGCTTTTTTCAAATCAAAGCTTCTTCAGACATAGTTACTTATTAATTTTTTACAATAATGCAGAGAATATATAGAGAAACTTCAGATACCTTTCTGGTTGAGATCCATACATGATGTATAGATCAGATCCTGCTCCAAAGGGCTTTCAGTGACAGTAAATTAGACAAACTTGCCCAAGACTGCGTAGAAACAGCTTTCCTTCCTCCTGTTCCATTGTTACTGCAACAGATCACACAGTATCCATTGCCTTGCAACTTACCATAGAAAAAAAAAAAAAAAAAAAAAAAAAAAAGAAAATGAAAAAAACCTTCCTCCTTTACTCATTTCTATGAAGAGTCTCTCAAGAAAATGGAACAATTAGTCCTGTTTCATAGCTGAAGACTGGACTAGATCAAATCACAGGGATCTGTTTAGGTTGTATACTGTCTGGCTTGTCACATCTTCTCTTTCCTTTGAGACAGACATACTTTGAAAGAGTATGTTAGGTTCCAGAATCTATGCCTTGCCTTGGCATCCTGTATTTGTGTGTGTATGTATGTGTGGGAAGGGAGATTACTTTATTAATTGTAAGAAAATATCCTTCAGGGATTATGCTAAATTATACTTTTTTTGCAACCCCTGAGAGAGGGCATTTCAGATGATATCCAGTGACGTGCCTAACATGGCTTTTGCTGGTCCAACATATCATCTATTCCTCTTTCAAATAAGGCTAATATTGTCACAAAAGTAGACCACATCAATGTCACAGTAAACCTCCTCAATGAGGCAAGGCCAGTAGTTTGACTCTGTACTCCTCTCTGGACTAAAGTTTATAGAGAGTAATTAGAACTGCAAGGTGGTGTTGCTACATTGGCATTATGCTGTCTTCAGTTCAAGAAAAGGTACATTGTAATAGATTTTACTAACTTGAGTGTTGGACTTGCCCTGATGTGCTGATGTTACTTCTTGTCTGTGTGTCAGCTCTGGCTCTCGGCAAGGTATTTCATTGCATGATGCTAACCTGTGGCAGTAACTCCTCTGAGAGGCAATTATTCACCACGTTTATGTGACCCCTTTTTACATTCCTATTTGTTCTTCCCTGAGCTATCTTATTTAAAATATTGATGTTGCAGCAACATAGTGGGTTTCCCTGGCATGGAAATTGAAATTTTCAATCACTGAACAGCATGATAAGTTTCATTTTGCTTAAGCTGAAAGTGTAATGAGGAACATCTTATTTCTCAGCAAAGATTGATTTGTCTCCTATATGTGGGTAAGCAAATTTATTATATATGAATATAATGTAACACCGTTGTGAGAATTTGAATACCAGCCTTATATCAGCTGCTGAATAATCACTCTTTGCTTTATTTAGCATGGCATAGTTTGTTTGTCCTTTTCTGCACATAAAAGACTGAACTGGCTGTGCTAATTCCAGTTATGGGTACACAGGGACATTGGAAAGACAGAGAGGAGGTGGAAAACTTCAAGAGGTGCTCTGAAAGTAGAGACTCCTATTTTGTTACATTGGCCCATGGCGTCAGAGGTGGATGTTGGTGGTATGACAGTAGAGGCTGAACTTTGCCTGCAACATTCCATTACAAGTTGCTGCTGTGTGACATATGGCAGCAGAGGGGCAGTCTGACACAATGGCATCTGACATGGAAGTGTATACGAAGCAAATGTGTGCTACTGAATTCTTTCATGAAGAAAAAATGGCACCCATTTACATTCACTAGTGCTTGATGAGCATTAAAGGAAAACAAAGAATGAATGTTAGCACATTGAGGTGGTGGGTGGTACATTTCAGCAGTGATGACAGAGATGTGAAAGACAAGCCATGTTCTGGATGGCCTTGCACAGCAAAATGAAAAGCATCCTGATCAGCTCATCCACACAAATTGGCAGATTTTGCGGGGGGATTGTGTACAGAGCTGAATATCAGCTTCAATGCATTGAAAATGATGGTGGCAATATTGGAATTTTGCAAAGTATGTTCCAAGTTGATCACATGAATTCAGAAAAAGCAGAAAAAGCACTATATGCAAGTTTGTCTGGACCTACTGAACCAAACAGAGAGGAAGTTGACAGTTTCCTGGTGTTACCACTATGAGCTGGACTCAAAATGGCAGTCTATGGAGTGGTGATTTGAATTCCCCGTCAAAGGAAATACTCATGATGCAAATCTCAGCAAGTAAAGCGATGTGCACATTCTTTTGGGATAGGAAAGGGGTGATCCTTCTGGATTTTCTCAAACCCAAACAAACCATCAACTCTGACCACTATGTTGTGACACAGACTAAAGATGAAGGCTCTGACTTCCACAGTAAGCCAGAGAAGAAGACAGTCTTTCTTTCAACACAGTAATGCCAGTACCCATACCAATTTGAAAACTGCAGAACACACTGCCAGTCTTGACTTGACTGTTCAACCACACCTACTGTACAGACCAGATTTTTCAGCTCCTGTCTTTCAGCTGTTTGGACCAGTGAAAGATGGCAACATTTTCCTAGCGACAATGCCATCATAGCAGCTCTGAAACTGTGGGTCACCTCTGCTTGTGGAGATTTTTATGAGCGTGGCACGCAGGCTCTTGTTCATCTCTGACAAAAATGCATAGCTAATGGTGGTGACTATTTTAAAGAAAAAAAACAACTCTTCTGTAGCTGAAAACTTGCTCTATCAGAGAGTGTTATTGTGTGCTTTGTATCTGTTGTATTTTCCATGGAATAAATAAGAGGCATTATTTTCAAAATTATCTACACAAATCTGTAGCTACTTTTGTTCATATGGAGATAAAACTTAATTAAGAGATTGTTTATATGAAAATCAAAGTGTATGGAAGGAGTAAAATGAAAAAAAATTATGGCGCACTTGAAATCCAGGTTGAATTTAATAATCCTATTTATAGTCTTTTTCAAATGGAAATTCAAGACTATTATGCTATTGACTTCAATGGGGTTAGCTTTTTCCCCTTTATGTAAGAGTTACAGTAAACCTCAGTAAGGACCTAAGTTGTCCTGCTGATGTGGAGTATTTTTGTAGCTGAAGATGAGTGTATTCCTAAGGCTTTGACAGGCAACATCTTCACTAAATGATCTGTCCAAAGAGGAAGAATGTGGCTTCCTTACCTAGGAATTAGGCACTCATCAAGGAAGAGATTGGATAGGTCCTATCCTGTCCTCCTGTCCAGTTGTGTTGGTTCTTTTTTGTGTGTGTTTTTCTTGGTTTTGTTTGTTTCTCTACAGTTTCACCACAGCTTTCTTCTCCCTTAGTTTGTCAACTACGGCTATTTGTGAATCTGCATAGAAAACCAGACCACTAAGATGACCCATGTGGAAAAATAACATTCCAGAATAAGTGTTTTCCATGCTTCTAGCATTTTGCCCTGCAAAGTCAGGGCATATTTTTTTTAAATCTACAAGTAAAATTACTACAGCTCTTTAAAATTTTTAAAAGATCATTTCTTACAGAACTATCTTCAAGTCTCTTTAGAGAATAACACCTACACTGGAAAAGAAGTATTTGCAATCATGCTCCAATGATGACCGCTATCCTGAGAATGAGTTTGGCACATTCATTTTAACAGAAAGAAAAATTTTGTGCCCTTCCTTTGTATATTTTAAGAACAGGTTTCTTTGCAACCAAGAGAGGTGGTTTTTAATTCCACATACTCAAGTTCTGTGACTTTTCTGCTCTGCATTTCTTAGTTCCAACCATAGGAGGCACTCTTATACTGCTGTCTGCAGTTTGAGAAGACCTGCTCCGGGAGCTGAACTCCTGGGCCAGTAATGTTTGAACTGTTGGTTTTGATAGAGGAGAACAGTAAATGACCTACTCCAGGACATAAAGCAAATAGTACACAGAGCAAATAAGCAAATACATTAATCTGTATTTCTTCAAAGGTAAATACCTTTTTAAATGTTAAAGAAAGTTATTTACATCTAGGAAAAGAAAAGGTCCTCTGGGACATGCCATGGTAAAAAGCTCTGAATAGCTATAAGCCATCATGTCTCATCTATGCAGGGGCTCTTAGATTGGTTTGATACTCTGAATGTTATACAAGAATTTCTCAAAGCCATCTTTCCAAAGCAACTGGTGTTTTAGAATGAAGTTTGTGCTGTATAAAATCCTGCCAATCAGTCCAAATATGTTGTTTTTCCAAAATGTCCAAATTAGCTACTTGTACCGTTTAGAATTAGCTGAAATTGTCTGTTTTGATAAGCAAATGAGAGATGAGTGCAAAATATGTATGTATGAATGCACCGAAATGTAACATCCTCCTCCATCATCATGAAAATGATAAAGAAAAGTTGTTGGGTAGAGCTATCTCTTACTACTAAGCCACATGGTTTGGAAAAGCAGGCAATAAAGAATTTCCTGCTCTGCTTCCAGCTCCCCTGGGACACATGCGAGTATCTCCCAAGTGCAGGCTCTCTAGCCTGATCACGTCACTGGAAGATGAACCTAGAGGCTCAGAAGCTCAGTCTCTCAAGAAATTTGACCTGTGATATCACCAGACAACTTGTAGGGCTAGCTGATTTTCTTTCATTGTTCTTATTTCTATTTTAACCTTTTGGTTTGCAACATTTACTTATTTGGGTTCCAATTTTCTTCTCCATCAGTGGCATTTTCCTTCTCTTGTCATGCCCTGAACTAACCAGATGTATATTGAAATTCATTTTGTTTCCCAGATCTTACATTCCTTGGTCACCCATAGTAATTTTGTCTTAGCAGAAGAAAGGGAGACATTCCTCTGTGTGCACAAATGACTTTACGAAAGATAAATACAAAATCATTGTACAGCTTGGACATCATTTCCAAGTGGGAGTCTGGTCCTAACTCTCACTCCCTTCTTTTTCTTTTTCTTTTTCTTTTTCTTTTTCTTTTTCTTTTTCTTTTTCTTTTTCTTTTTCTTTTTCTTTTTCTTTTTCTTTTTCTTTTTCTTTTTCTTTTTCTTTTCCTCTCCTCTCCTCTCCTCTCCTCTCCTCTCCTCTCCTCTCCTCTCCTCTCCTCTCCTCTCCTCTCCTCTCCTCTCCTCTCCTCTCCTCTCCTCTCCTCTCCTCTCCTCTCCTCTCCTTCTATTTTTCCCTGTCACTTTATTTCCAGCTGTTCTAAAAGGAGTTTGGCATTTTACTTTGTAGACTTCATCTTTAGTCTCCATCAGGACTAGATATGAAGGTAGATCATATCTGGTATGCTATCCACGGGGAAGTAAAAGCTGAACAGCTGTGTGACTTGGCACAGTGAACAAGTATAAACAGAAGAGTAATTTAGCCCACTGGTGGGCTGTATCACTGAACATCATCAAAAGTTGGCAGATAAGTAATGGAAAATGAGTTAAATGTCATTCTGCCTTTCTATAGCTTGTCATTTTTTTTTTTTCTTCAGAAAGATTAGTCAAGTTTAGCATGTTTTGGCATTACTCGATTGTTGCTTGATAATTACAGGTGCACACTCAAGAATACTAGCATTTTCTTTATTCTTTAGCAAAATAGGAAGCTCATGTACAGACCTGAATTTTGGAATGTCTAAAGTATACCCGCCTCTTTGGGCCATCAAATCTTTTTACATGTATTGTGAGCCTTTGAAAAGGAAGTGGAACATAAGATAATTAACAGTTGAACAAAAGATATTCAGAGGGAAGCTGCTTGTGAAATGAATACAGATATATCTAAATGAGGAGTTGAACAGTATGGGAGAAGAAAACAAACACAGTCTACCACAGATACTCAGTGCTGTGACTATGCCTATGAGAAACACCATAAAGGACTACTTGTGTGCAGCTCTTCTGACAAGATACTGAACTGAATAAAAGTGCATTTCACTCCTTCAGCACTTCTTCAGTAGGGAGGCATTTTTCTTGTACAGTGACTTTTTTCAAAGTTTTGAAGTGCAGAAATAATTAAAAAGGGTAAAATCACTGTAACAAAACTGGAGTACAACATATGGCCAATCCTCAGTGTATTTACAGCCTGTGCAGCTATCCTGAGGGGAAAAAAGCCCAAAAACATTAAGATCTTGCTGAGTATTGTCTAGTGTTTCCAGATTTTTCAGATTTTTATCTTCCCAAAATGTGGGATTAAAGCATGCTCCTTTGTAAAGCAAGAAATATAAACATGATTTTACTTACTTACATGAATTCAAGAGCTGAAGTTATCACAGAAAGAAACACAGCATTATGGGATTCATAAAGGTGTTTGCAAAGCTTGGTCACACTGCAACATGTAGAGTTGTCATCTTGTCACATCAATGGCTGCTGAGTGCAGAGCAAGTAGTCAGTACATTGGGACTGTCAACTTTTTATTGTAGTAGAAGTTTTTCAAAAGCTTACAGTGAAGTCTGAAGAAATACGATGACTGGATCAGTCTTTTTCCTAAGAATATGTATTTGTATCATGTACTTAACTCCAACCAACGTGCCAACAATATTCTGATGATGTATTCATTTTGCTCATTTGTTCATGACAAACTCTTAATTGAGATACTGATTTTTTTTCCTTATGCATCAGATTTTTAACATCATCCAAAAGACCAGGAACAAAATAAGCCAAGGACCTCACTGCCCATACAAAACCTGTGAAGACTGTTTAAGTGTCTGTATGGGAACTGTTGAGTCACAGCCTGAACAACTGATTGATCACCTGGGAAAGGAGCTGGTCAGCCCTGGGAGCACAGGTGAAGGCAATTCACCTGTGTGACTGGAAGGGGTGGAACCTGGCTGCACCTCTCTTAATCCTCATTTAAGGGTGGACTGCTACTGCTGAAGGATTTCTGGTTGGAGGTCCTTCTCCTGTGGAGTCCCTTCTGTAAGCTTACATCTTCTGAGATGGGTGAACACCTTGATTTTTTTTCTTGTGAGTACCATCCTATCTGCCCTGATTTCTTTGCTGTTATATTCTCATATCACCCTTCTACTGTGTTAATACTTCTGATTGCTACAGTGCCATGTAGGTTTTTGGAAATCTCTGTAGATGCTGTAAGCTATGCAATAAGTGGCAAGTATCAGGTTTAGTCTCAGAAATTTTTACTTGTTAGACCTGAACTCACAGTTTAAAGAGGAGATCAAATGTAGTGTATGTTCTTCAGAGATATTTATAAATAGTAAAATACAGCAGGTTCACGTAGGAGCAGCTGTGTATGCTGTTGTTGGTATGTATTGTAAAAGTCACTGTGTGAGCTTGCTGAACATGGTATCTGCATACAAATGCTGGGCGTAAGTTGATGGATTGTGAATTATCAGCCAATGGAATGGGAAATCCAGGGATCCTGGATTTCTCTGCCCTCACTTGGCTGGTTTGAGGGGGAGCAGAGTGGCCAAGCTGCAGGGGCGCAGGCAGGCTGCTTCACTGGCTCCGTTTCAGCAACATGCTCAATGCCCAACAGCTGTTTTGCCTCTTCCTCCTCTACTTGTACTGCATGTGTTCCCATAGCATGATGTTGCTGGTCTCTTTTTCTTTCTGAAAGAAGAGATACTGAGGTAAGTGTCTAAAAATTACTTCACTTATGACCTTGTGCATTGCTAGATACAAAAAAATCTGCACCTAGTCAAACTGTGCTGGAAAAAAGAGCAGAAAGGAAGCAGACTTATAATTCCTTTCCTGCTTTGCATTCATCCCCTTGCCCAGAAATAATTTGTGTCTAGTTTCCCACTTACAGTAAGATCTCTTTGATTAAAATTTCCCTAGGATCAGGTTTTTGGTTCTCCCCTATCCTGCTGTTTGAGGTCACACAAAGACCTTAATGAAGAGTTAGGATGGAGTAAAAGTGGCCTCAATACATCTAGGATACAGGCCCTTGGGACACTTCCTCAAGCTGGAAGTGGGAAGCTGAGA